ACCAGAGGAAGTGTAGGAAATTTCTGTGAGACACAAGTTATTGTAAGGTGATGGCAATGAAAGCCATGTGAGTAACCATCATGGTGGCGGGAAAGTCATACAAATCATTTGTGTAACAGTGACCTCTAACAATTTAGAAAAGCTCTTACGATTATGTCATCCTGGCAAAAGCAATGTCAGATCAGAAAATGCCAATGTGGATAGTGTTGAAATCTGTTTGCACAGCTAAAAGCTGCAAATCAATCAGTTTGTTCCTGTCCCTTGGAAGTTTGCTGTCCTTTTACTGAGGAGCACCTGATTCAGCTGCATATTGCTGAAAGATTCACGGAGAACCTTGTTTCAAAAGGATAATTTATTCAGTGTGAAGATTCTCAGTCATCCAGATGCGTACTCTTTTCAAGAATGTAAATTAAGTTCAGATACCTTTGACTTAGCACTTCTATGTTTTAAAGGTAATACGAAACCACACAGTTTGTTTTATTTTTAAATCAAAGGCATTTGAATGTACTATAGCTGGTATTTCTGACATTCCAGTTTAAATAGGACATCAGAAGGAATGCTTGGAAGCAGTATTGCAACAGCAAACAGTATGAATATACTTTTGATTGCATCTCACATATAGCTTGACCCCATTATGCTGTCGCTGGCTTCAAACCCATGCCAGACATTCCTCAGGCTGTATGAAAAGCCCAGTGAAGGCAACATATTGATTGGTTATGTCATAAACTTCATGCTGTAATTTAATATATCTGTGCGCCTGTTGCTGATGTGCATATGCATGCAAGACTCTGTGCACGTGCAAACACATACATGTTCACAAGCATGAATGTTTAATTTAACAAAGCTATTTTGAGCCCACCATCATTATCTTTGTCCTCAAGTGGAACGCTCCTTTAAATATGCTAATTCAGCCAGTGGAGGCTCTGGCAAGGTAATTGTTAAGCTTGTTTAGTTTGACAGTTTGCTTGTTGTGTTTGTAGCAGACTCCCTTTCTCAAAGTACACACTTAACACAAAAAACTGCGCTACATGGCTTCTTTATTTTGCTGAATCTGTAATAAAGGCTTCAATTGTGTCTCGTTCAGATTCAAACCATATGGCATTATTTTCAAGTTCCATCTGAACATCACAACTGACAGTCTAGCTGTATTTATGGGTGATTGATAGAACTCAAAGGTATCTTAATACAAGCAAATAATCCATGCATGTGACTGCTTCATGTCACCCCTTACTGTATCTACGTCAGTGGGGAGAATAGGGCTGTGTATTAGCAAGAATCTGACAACACAATACGTATCATGATACAGGGGTTACGATGCAATGTATTGCACTATATATAGTAATATAATGTTAGCAAGCAATTTTTATTTTAGAAAAATCTGTCATAGTATAAAGAACATGCCATCATATACATAAAATCTGAGATTTATGCAATTAAGTGCAATGACCAGTTCAAAATTGAAAATTTACTATCTATAAGCGTAACAGACTGCCCTAGTATACGCGTGCTGACTCAGGCTGCAGTCTGATTGATAGAGAGTTCATTCAGTAGAGCTCCTTGCAGGTGTTTGAGCTCGCTGTGGTTTATGATGTCAGGATCAGAGATTGACAAGAAGATGACCATTAAGAGACTGTCCTCAAATGACCCATGAGATGTCTGAGGTGCATTTGGATGTATTTGTTTTTGCGTGTCTTTGGTCTGTTTATCTCTGTGTGATCACATACAGTATAACAGGAACAATGAGCAAAGCAAAAAAATCCAGGTTTATCATACAACACAATAATTGGTCTAAATCCTTTGTTGTTTTAGACTTTGAATTTTCGATAGCAGATAGCTTCATGCATTGAGAATACTTCAGACTAACTTATTCATTCAAAGTCATAAGTGGTCTGACCATGTCTTTGGTCAGTGTTGTTACCTGTCCTTGAATGTCCACACTGGTAGGTGCTGAAGGTTGTTGTTTATGTTAAAAGTGACAGACGTGGCACGTATATGCAAATGAGTGATGAACCAACATAGTGTTGGTTTTTCTTTGTAAGTGTAAGTAAGGTGTTGTTCCAACATCATCCTCCAGAGGCGCTTCAATGCACCCTTTCATAGATTCTCCAATTCTGTATGTGCTTATAGCATGTCATTAAAGAACATCCACACACTGCTGACTCTTCAGCATGCCATACAGATCATTTTATCATTCTGGTGGCCAAATAATGGTAATGTAATGTACTCTAACTAATATAGAGGAAGTCTTTTATTAAATGGGCCATTTTAATCCATCATTCGACACATCCTGTACATCATATGGCAGGCAAGGGAAATCATTCCAATGTGGATTTCTTCAGCTTCAGACGTGAAACTAAATGCTGGTTTTTTTTTTTTTTTTTTTTTCATTTCTTCAAAGAATGTCATTCTATCTAAGCTATTAGAATGCTTGTTGGTGAGATGCTCTTGGCATTTCAATTGGGAGTAAGAAACAACGTATAAAAATCGAGTTCTTCAATGCTAAGTGTGTAATGTCAGTACACAGTCTTTAAACCCACATTTCTGTCTTGTACTGAGGATGAAGAGATAAAATAGTTCAACTATATTATTTCTCTGTTAGGAGAATATTAACCACCAGTGGGAGGTAGAAGTTGAGAGAAAAAGACAAATGGCGGTACGGTAGATGAGGAGGAGGAAAAGACTAGAGCAGGAGACCTGCAGATTTCAGGAAACCAAATTTAGGACTCAGAAGAATTCTTTTAATGTTTCCTCGAACTGGATTAAAGACCAAGTGAACAACCAAAGCTGATAAGATCTACATATGGTAATTCTGTTTTAACATAGCTAACAAATATCCCCAAAGTAAGATTGAGCTGTAGAGGAGAAAATAATATTAGAAAGTGATATAAATTCAGTCTAGTTCAGGTATATTATCCAAAAAGAGGACATCTGTTTTACAGCAAGGCAGCTTAAAAACAATAAAAAACAATAAAAAAAGAAGACAATAGAGGACAAAAGTACTTCTCTGTAAAACATTGTGTAAGCTGTTGCTCCTCTTGTTGGAGCCACTTTTGTAAAAAGCTACAAAGACAATATAAGAAAGATTGCATACTTTTTCATTTCAGTATGTACAGTATGTGCAGTTGGGACATACTACTCCATCATGACATTTGAAGTAAAGTGAAAATGTATGCAATTAGAAAGACTTAAACCTAGACTGTTGCTGAGCTCACGAGAGATGGAGGTCAACCCAGAGATCTCTTCTGTTTTTACTTTGTTATGTATGTAGCATACAGTATTATATTGATGACAGTGAAATGATGTTTACCTTTATGATAACACTTGGATGCACTGTCATCTGTCTGTGCTCTCGGTGGCTCAGACAATGTGACAAATCTTTTTGGATTGGGGGTCAGAATAGGCAGAAAAGCATGCCTGCTTGCAAACTGCAAAATGCGACTGAATGCAGTGGGACATACTGGTATTTCTGGCATATTGCATTTGATATACTATGTATTGGGATTCTAAATCTTCTTCTGGCATACTAAATAGTATGGTAATATGGGTATTGGAACACACCCATGGGTTACTATCTCTCTCCATATATAACCACCCGTTACCATGTGACCAAGTGAAGTTCCACACTTTGGTCACATGATGACAAATGAGCCAGTTCCACTAAAGAAGACCCTGAGATGCAAGTGCTCTGAAAGCTAGTAAGTAGATATTTACACTTAGGTTTATTTGTCACACTATGGGTAACATATTGTTTTGGGCTACAACTCACATTTATTTTCATTATTGACTGATCTTGACCCCCCCCAAATGAAATAAAATAGTAAAATACCCAGCACCATTTTCAGGAATTCAACTTTCAGTCTTATTTTCTCTGACTAACAGTGCAAAACCCAAAGAAGAAGGAGTTGTAACTAGAGAATATTCAACATTTTGTTGGACTAAAAGGATTAGCCGATTATCAAAGTAATTGCCAATTAATTATCTGTTAATGAACTTCAACTCTATATTGTATTGGATAGAATGAATGTAGGATTCCTGGTATTCAATAAATATAAATGTCTCACATCTGTCAAAACCGTAGTTGTGTTATAATATCGAAATTCACAACATGTTCCTTTTTGCTTTTACATTTAGACAATTGATGAGTTTCTTTGAGTTTGAGAGCCGAAGACACCCTGGGAGATAATAGAGGGAGGAGAAAGCAGTAAAGGAGAATACAAAATCCTCCTTAAGGGGGGAGAGGAAACACCTTTCATGATTGCTGCTGTTTAATTATACATGTGTCTGCAGTTCTGCTGCCCGGAGCTACAGTCCAATAACACGGCATCTCCAGCACTCTGCCAAATGCTTCATACGAGCTACACCACAAATGCACTCCCAGCACACTCAACATGAATAGCAGCTGTGTAAGGCTAACAACCGTCAGTGCAAGCCAGAAAGATGAAGAAAATGTGGTGTGGGCTTAAAAGGAGCTTTAGCTTTGGTACAGTAGATGCCCACTTCGGAGAGAGAGAGAGAGAGAGAGAGAGAGAGAGTAGTATTGAGTTGCAAGATGAATTGATGGAGGTGGGAGGTAAAGTCACCTTTGTTTCTTGTCTCTGTTATTAATTGTGTGTGTGTGTGTGTGTGTGTGTGTGTGTGTGTCCTCTCTGTATCTTCCTGCCATACATTTCTTTAAGACCTAACCTTATATTGATGGAAATTAATCACAGTTGAATATTGACAGCCGGCTCTACAAAGGTTAGATCATTGACCGCAGCTAATGCTCATGGGAAATTTGCTGCTGTCAAGCTACCCTCGAGCAAGGCACTGAATCCCCAGTTCCTGCAGTGTGTGTGCTCAGTGACTGATAGCTGTTTATCCAAGCAGCTAGCTCCCAGTGTTACTGCTGTGGACCTGGATGGGTGTTACTTCAAACATGGCTGTTGGTGGCTTTGATAAATGAAAGGTTGAATACAATCCATTGAAGAGTCTGTCTTTGTGTGTCTGTCTTTTTTCATCAGGCAGTTGGATAGACAGAGAGATGCTAGCAGTCTAACAGAAGCTCCTCACATTACTTCGACATCCCGGCCACAGACGACCGCAGCTCCAACAGGTAGGCCTCATCAGCACGGTTTCCACCCGCATTTCTAAATTGGATTTTTTTTTATCTGACAAAGACTGAACGGAATTCCAGCAATGTTCCATTCAGTCGCCCACTGTGTGCTTTTTTTTTGTCACAGACAAACAGACATGAAACCACAAAAATGATGAAAACACATTACTTGACTTTATCAGCCCAATAATAGGTCCATGCACACAGCACAGCAGTTCAGCATGTGCCTTGGATGTTCTAAAGTAAATCTGTGTACCACATCCTCAGATGTATGACCCAGGGGTCTACCCTAACCCTGTTTCTGATTCGACTGGTGCGGTTTGTATTTATGCGAGATCATTTGGTAACCATAGCAACACCATAGTATGTACATCACTGAGTGTGGGGATTCTCCCTCACAGAAGGAAGTGAAAGTTCAAACAGAGGCTTGTGCACTGCTCCATGTTTTAACAATTCTTCATGAAAAACGTAGGAATACAACACATCTTGTGTTGTATTGTTTTTGTTTTAATTTATGACATGTAGGACCAGTTGCAGTCTTGACAGATAATGCTCACAAACATGTAAAGTAGTTATTAAGACCCTAGAGAGGAGGGGTTTTAGTAAAGTGCTGTGTGATGTTTTGCTGTTTGCTATTTTTAAATTCTTCTTTTTTTCCCAGCTTAGCTAAAGTTAAGGAGTTACAGCATCCAAAGGACATCTCAACCATAGAAATTATGTAATTCTACAATAGAAGCAAGAAGAAGAAAATTAAAAAGGTTTTTTGTTATTGGCTGGGAAGACTAAAGTAAAGCCACAGCTTGTCATATCTAACATATCGGTTTCATTATCTTATTATTAGAAATTGGAATAATAGCATAAAGGGGGCGTTATGATCACAGAGTAGCGTTAAGGTTTATCAAGTAGCAAATTGCAAAAATTATTGTTACTATTGGAAACCATGATGGACCCTTGGGTTGGTTGATAATTCACTTGTGTGTCTGTGTGCGTGCGTGTGTGTGTGTGATGTTAATAGGAGTTCAATGCCTTAGTTGTTCTCTGGAGGCTTTTTTCTGTTTTCGGCTCTCAAAGAAAGAGGTGTCAGCACACAAGAAGATGGAAAATGAGAAAAACTGGGCTAGAGGCACCAGGGGGGGTCTGAGAGACTTTCCAGACTGCAGTGTTTTTGTGTTTGTGTGTGTGTGCTCTCGCAGTGTAACTGATTTGGGTATTTAAAAAGCAGTACATATTCTGTAGCTTTGGGGGAGATTCTTGGAAGGATTTGAACACCCCCACCACTTATTCCCTTTCTAACCTTCTCCGCTTTGCCTCATCGTTCACTCCCCAGAAAAAATCCCTGAGCATCACTGAAAATGTGTGCAGAATATATTAACGTGCTATTCAAAAATAACCCCATTCTCTAGACCCCCGGACAACTACACAATTGAAATCACCAACTCATTGTATTTGTCATTAGCATTTAGTGACGACTGTCCAGATGCTGTAAGTTGTTAGTGGTTAGCTGCGGCCTCCAGGGGGAGATCCAGAGCTCCAGGCTCTATGGGGGGGTCTGAGAGGATTACGTGCCTGGCAAGGTGCTCTTTTGTGTGGGGAGACAAGGCAGTTGAGTAGCCCTCAGATCCAGGCCACAGGCACAGAGATGAGCTGAAAGGATAATCGCAGCAGTTTATCTACTGTATTGTGGATTTAATGGAGCCTATCTGCCAACATTTTACCTTTACTGCAAATGACCTCCATTAACTCCTACTGCACTTTTCAATAACAAAATTTAGCTTTTCCAGTTTGGAATTTGACATCCGACTTGGCCTGTATTAAGTGAATAAAGATTTTCACTATATCTGCGAGGCAGGAATTATACGATGGCCATTGCTGTGGATGCCCCACCATGTGGCCATAATGCCCCTTCTAAAAGGAACTACCCACATGGCCAGTTTGGCATTGCCCTGTTTTGAACAGGCTGTTGTTCCCTTGAGCTCTGGAGGCCGCGGGTCAAACACGATCAATCTGATCCCTTTTTCTCTTTTGTGGAGTTTTTCCACAACGCCAGAGAAAAAATTACAAGAGAAAATGCAATAACTGCTAGCAGCTAACTAGCTAACGCATCACACACTCAGTTTACCCACAAGTCCACCTTTCTTAAAGGGGAAGGCGCTGGCGTTAACACTCAGGTGCGGTTAGGCTGTGGGTGTGCAAACTAGAGGTGGAGGAAGTATTCAGGTCCATTAAGTAAAAGTATTAATACCAACCCCACTGTGAAAATGCTGAACTACAAATTTTAGACCTTACTAAGCTAATAAGTATGTAAGTGTTAAAGCAAACCTTGCTTAAAGAAGTCATTGTGCACTAAAATGTTCCCTGTCAGTACTTTACTACTATATTTTATGTTTTTGGATTAATATTACCTCTATAGTAAACAATGTGCAGTCACAGCGCTCTTGCAGACTAACTGCATGTCACATTGTGGGAGATGGGTCTAATAAAGTCTTGCTCATAATCAGTGTGTAACCATACAATATCCGTTTTGAGGCATGTCAGATTGTATAATTAAGTTTCTGGCACTACAATGTAAATAGAGATAGAGACGGATAAGTCATCAACTCCCACCCCTCATGTTTTGAAAATGAAAACTGGTGCAAAAAGGTGCTTACAACAGATTTACAAATGCCAATATGGCCTGTACGGTATTTGTCTATGGGTATGTCTTCTTGGCCATATTCTGATTGGTTGGTTTGTGTATGTGTGCACTGTAGTGTAGCAGTAGTCACATTGGAGACCAAAAACAGCCTGCATAAAAAACTCAGACACTGGCAGAAATTTAGGAGCAAATTCTCACAAAGCTCTGAATCAGCCATCTGTGGACAAGTCTCACAGTGAGATCTAGGACCAGTGTTTTGGATTGACGAGCAAAGATTTCACCATGTTTCTCACACACAGTGTATTGTTGCATTAAGACCATCACTGCATCATGCCATTTCGGACAGGCAGTTACAGGGCCGCTGGAAGTAATTTTGAACAGGGGGTGCTGTGAAAAAATTGTTTCTTTGTTTTTTTTGGACAAAAAACCTATGAGCCTATAGGCCGATTTAAAATACATTTTAAAAATAAATAAATAGATTGAGATTCACTACTTTATTGTCATATACACTTCAGTGCACACAGCCAGGGTCTCTAACACACAGACGTCATCAGTTGTCAGATGAATATATGCGCTATTAATTAAACTTCACAATAACGCTATAACAATGCAATAGATTTGGTCAGCTGGCATGAACCTGAGTCACTGCACCATCTAGGTTTATGTCACACGCGACTCTGTTAGCTCCGAAATCCTTTTACGCAAACCACAAGGAAATAATCTCTGACTATTTCAGCACGTTATTGAACAGTTCTCCACATCCATTACGCAAAGAACACACGATCAAAATAACACTCTCCATCTCCATCCGCACCACCTTGCAAAAATACTATAGTGTAACGTTAAACTGCATGAATAGGTTAGATATGAAAGTGCGCAGCGGCACCATGCTCTTACTTTGAGCTACAGGCAGGGTGCCCTGGTTACAGGTGTCCAAATGTTGAGGTACGCTCTGGGGTCGTGGAGATAAAGTCTCTCATGAGGGGACGAATGTCCAGGGAGTTCAGAATGTCTGTGTGGGCATGCATCAGCGAAAGGTGTGTGAGTCTTTTCTGGGTCATGGAGCTGCGTACCCATGTCCTCAAAAGACGCAAGGCGGAGAAAGTGCACTCGGATGAGGCCACGGAGATGGGTAGGCACAGACATAACTCGATCAGTTTTTCTGTCTCTGAAAACATGGCTCTTGTTTGTGGCTGGGGGTTTGTCAAACATGATGCTACATCTTGGACTGTGACACACTTAGACCCTCTGTCTTGTGTGATATCGGTAAGCTGCTTGAGAACCTCTACTCGGCGACCACTAGCCTGCCTTACGTTGACAACATAACTTCCGTGAACCTGTGTTGATTAGGCCTCAAAATAATTCAATTAAAATCCAAAATACACGTAATAGCCTACGTGTGTCAAAATCATTTCCCAAAATATTCATAAGGAATTTATAAATTGTGCAAAATATTTTTAATATTTTTTTTTAAAATCTCACCCAACAGGACCGCAAGGCCAAAGAGTAGTTTGTTTAACCGAACAACAATAGGTGGTGCTCTACCCTGCCTAAAGGATATTTACACCAGGGGCTGCAGGAATAAAGCTAGAAGAATGATTAAGGATCCCAACCACCTGAATAATGGCCTTTTCTTCTTGCTACCATAACTACAAAATACACCAGGCCAGCAGTGAAAGGTTCAGGAAGAGCATTTACCCTCAGCCCAATAGGTTGAGTCACTAAGACTGCTGCCCCCCATCATTCTCATATATTTATTACTGTTCCTTTCCGACTTAAGCTCTTTTGAATGTAAACACTGAAAAAACTGGCAGGATTAGATTTCACTGTGATTGCAGTGATTGATTAATGTAATAAATAAACTTGATTGATTGGAACTAATGTTAGCTATAGCAGATACAGTGATGAGTGGTGAATTTATGCATCATCAGTCAGATCAGTCATTAACTCCAGAATTTTCTGACTTAACAGTTGTTTGTCATTATAGCTAAAGATCTGTTATCAATAAACACAGCAGCACTTTTAAATGTCATTTACATTTATTTTGAATTTTTTTTAGAAATGATACAAGGTAAACTATTTATTAACTTATTACATCAATTCTGCTAACATTGCTCTCACCACAGTCATTCCTGAGATCTGAAACCAAGACAAAATTGCCAAATGGTTGTTCCAATGGGGAAAGAAACATAAGTGGTCAGATGATCAGAGATGTGGTAAGATTAGTTTGCTATATTGACTTTCAATAAATGCCACATAGAGACAAGTTTGTTTACAGATTATTTTAGTTCCTGTTTTCTCCAGCTACCTTGAGGACAAAGTTCTGAAAGCTGGCTGGTGGGCTGTGAATTAGTAGCCTGAAAAAATACCAAACTCAAATTGATCAAGATTAGGTGGGTTTTCGTCGAAATGGCAAATAGTTCTAAAAGAGTTACAACATCACCAAGCTTTTACACTTTAGGGAGGTTTGTTGGTATGTCGATAATAAGAAAATTTGACAATGGAGACTGAGTCAGCGAATAAATCATGATGAGCTTACATGTGACTTACTGAAGTTTCTGCTCCACAAGAGAGACAAAAATATGAAAACATCAGTTCTCTGAAGTGATGAGACTGTAACTTTCCTCAAATGAATACAAAATATTTCCATCATGTTTTCTGTGTTCCATCGTTTGAGGTTTGGCACTCCTTGAACTACATCATCTTATTACACCATATTCTTCTAAAATTGGTATAATGGAACCTGACTGGAGCATTAGGGCCACCTACTGCTGAGCTGAGAGAACCAACTCCTAATAGCCACATGCCAATGAAAATTTGGTTAACATTTTTTGAAACTGGCTATATTATATAATAATAAAATTGTACTAGGCCAGTGAGCAAGACTATGACAAGTCTGATTTACAATACCAAAACCAAGTCAGACACAAAAGACACACTAGAACCCAAGATCAGAAGTTCTCTCTTGGGCTTTTTCTACCAACAGGAAACTCTGTTCTGGTTCAGGTACCTAGTTTTGCATTTGGACCAAAAATAAATTGCTTCAGAACCCAAAAAGTTGGGTCCAAGCTGGGACCAAAAAAAAAGAAGCAGGTTTTCCTTGGGAACCTAAATAGGACTGTCATATACTACAGTTTGTGCATTGAGCAACTCCCTCTGTTGATGATGCCTCCTTGATTACAGTGATCCCACACACCGGCTGCTTCCCTGGAATGGATGGAAATGGAAACGGGTCAATAACCAAAACTAATTTGGTGTCTTTGGATCTTCCTTGCCCATCTTTGTTCATCCCATCTCACCTTTCAATTCAGAGCTTAGCACCATTATAATTCTGTGATGTTTGTCTTCAGCCATGGCTGAATTGTTGCCACAGCAAGTTGCAGATGTAGCCAGCTTGTCCTGGAGTGGCAGGGCTGGAATTCCAACAGAGGGGTTATGTTATACCCAGTGGGACACCCTACACTCAACCACCTAAACTTCAAACTCAAATGCATCTACTTGTAGCCACCCCTCTGAAATGATGAGGCTCCTTCCTGGGGGTTAGCCTGCTTCCATATTCTCCGAGAGTCCTTGATACATCCATAGATATGGAAGTCTGTAGGGGCAAATTGAAACAGGTAGGCTCATTTCCCACACACAGACACATATGGCAGACATACATCCAAACACACCTTCGAACAAACACGCACACACTGTCATTTCCCAGCCACAGTATGCAGAGAGGCAAGGAAACAAGCACAGAATACCAAAGGCAGCCCTGCAAAAAAAATAAAAGCAAAGCAAAAGAAAGTCAAGGATACAGATGAAGAAAGAAAGGAGGGGAGGACGGGCAGTGTGTTATAGGTGTCTAACAGCATGGAACATGCTTTGTGGAATACTTTAACATTGAGCGGCTGATGCAAAAGCTGATATCAACCTTCATATTGTGTCTCATAGCTCTCAGTGCTGAGGATTAACCATCTTGTGCACGCTGCAGATCAATAGAGGTGATAGCATTGTGTGTGTGTTTTTGTCACTTGAGGGGGGAAAAAAAGGTGAAACAAGCTGGCGTCTCACTCTCTTTTCTCAGGCTGTAGACGGAGTCTGTGCCAAGAAAGGCTCTCTTCCTTGAAAATGCAATCTCTCTACGTATAGTTCGTATATATATCATTTTTTCTGTTACTTTTTCTGTGTCTGTTTTACACTTTATCACAGTTCCTGGAGCCTAAAGTATATTTGCCTCTCTCTCTTGGCCAACCTTCTGCACACACAGAGACATGCACACAACACACTGTACACATTAGGGTTTCATGATACTGCAAAAAACTTACATTGTGAATCACATGCAGATATACAATGAGCAATCTGTCTGTCCTCCTCCTGCTTCTACCACACTTGGTTTAGCCCTCTGCCACCCCTCCAGAAATCAGCTAGGACTCCTCCACTTGCGTGGAGACTCTGGCACCTGTACCGTCAAGTATAGAAAGAAAAGGTGGAGATTTGGGAAAAACAACACTTTTCTTCTTAAACTTTACAAATGGAGTGGTTAACAGGAATACGCAGACTCAAAAGCTGTAACGGCTGCCTCTGGCCTGCAGGCGACATTAACTATAATTATCTAAGTAGCAAGCAGGTTATACGGAGACTTTGTATTCAGAGCAGTCAGTTTGCTATGAGCTCTGGCAAAGGAGTCCACTTGATCAGTTTATCAAACAACCAAAACAGTGAAATGCACCCTTCACCAGAGTACATTGGAAACTCTGTGTATCCAAAATCCCATAAATCGGAATAAATTATGTAATATCAGGCGGGCTTTACCTGTAGGTTAGTCATGTAAAAGGAGAACCTTGCAAGTTTTCCTTTTGTATCCAGGAGCAAAAAAGTTGCATTAGGTACCTTACTTTGCCTTACAGACTATGAGGTGGACTTGGAAGTCCACAAAGGCGTAGGACTGCCCCAATGTCAAATCGTCAAGTGCATAAGGGCTCAGAGCCCTTTACGCACACTTTCATAAGTCCACTTTTCTGCAGATCTTTCCTGAGAGAATTACCCACAGTTCATAGCATTGTGATGTTAAACACAGGGCTACTAGGGGCTTAGCCCTGAAGTGGCTTACTAAAAAATAGTAAACAAACATGTGAGGAGACAAAGAAAAAAGTTTACATGGAAGTGTATGATGTTGTTTAGACAAAAACGAGTAATTTGATTATTTGACAATTACCTCTAGTCTACTCTGTAAGATGTTCAAATAATCCAGTCAGACCCTAATAGTGCCTTTGCCGTAATAAACTTTATTTATACAGCCCTTGGAGCCTCTCACGCTCAAGGACTTACCAGGTGACATCAGCTAAGTCCGTCAGGGTTTAGTGCTGAGGCTTTAGGGTGGAGATTGGGATTGGGCCATAGTATTTCTAGGTGTAAAGGTGTCATTGTGTGGGCACTCCCCTGTGTGTCGTGTTCTGACCACTGATAACCTGCAGTCCCTCTAGAGCGGCCATGTTTAGGGTAACAGCAGCATGCTCATGGTTACACTACAGCTTTGTGTGCGCTTTGTGTGCTTTACCTTGTTTACTCCAAGGTAAAGGCCAAATGACTCACTCTCTCTCCTGTGCCATAGTGCACAACATGTATAACATGCTGTATATATGTGTGTGCTTTTCCACGGATACCTGTGATGACTGATGTTCTGATATTCCATAGTCTGATATTTGTAACCTCATGCAACATATACTGTACACTGACAGGAGGTCATCTCAGTGTGTTATTAATCGGTCTTGCCTAGGTAGTGGTGGATGATACGTCCATATTATTGTTCATTAGCTATAGAATTTGTATATAACAATGACATGATCATATCAGGTTATCTCTTAACAAAATGCTTTTGTTTAATGCATTTGCAGTATTATAATTAATACGTTGATATTGATTTTAACCATGTCATTCAGCCCTGTAGAGGATGTTTGATGATTTGTAATATCTTTGAACGTTTTTTTCCTGTTGAAATCTGTTAATTGCAAATCATGGGTTTTGCAAAGAAAGCAGCCAGTGTTCAAATTACACAGTGGCTTTCGTGGGTGGGAGGGAACTGTACACATGCGCGCATATACATGAAAGCGCCCACCAATGTGCAAAAATATACTCTCAATACATTTCAATTCATACTGAGAATATTTAGCCTGTGACAACAAAGAAACAGAAAAATGACTCACTGTTGCAATGTTTTTTTAAAACACTCTCCACTGGGAAACCATAAACGCACGGTGGCTAGGCAATGGTTTGAGTTACTTTGTTAAACAGACCAGACCTAGGGTGCATCCCATGACAATTATGCCCACAGTCTCCAGTGTTTTCTTACTGTCTTACAGTCGTACTTACAAAAACAGCAAAATACATTTTCTAACAGCTACTCTAAACACAACCCAATGCTCGCTGCACAGTAAAACCTTTGCACTGTGTCACTTTGGTACCAAGTTGATGCCAAAGTTCTGAAAATGTGACAGTACTCGTTTTTTTTACAGTACTGTAGGTACAGAAGATGCAATTCTTCCGGACCTGACTGGGACAGCATATACGCATAAAAGCACTCTTGTCTGTTTATAATGCCATAGAAAGAAGAACACCTGATGTTACCGAAATAAAAATTATGCCATGCAGACGTGAGCGGTGTGAACAAGCTGTAATCTATAGTGATAAAGCTTTTGTGCTGATATCAATACAAACTAAGTCTCAAAATGAACAAACTATAAAATTATAACTGTGATAGAAACAGAAGGCAAACTCCAATCTGCCTGCCCGGCAGGAGAGGCCTTCCGGGGATTTTCAAACTGAACTATGAGCAAGGCGCACAGACAGATGACTCAACTATACTGATATTGATTGGCAGATAGTCAATACGAAAACAAAATATCAACTAAAGAGTGGAAACAGGCAGCAAACAGACAGCAGGAAAGAGTAGATTGAGTTTTCATTTATTACTTGAAGGCTAAATGCCACTGTTGTTTTTTGTAATGTTACTTTTTTTTTTTACCGTGGTATCAAATTGGATATGGAGAATCGTGGAATTTCACTGGTATTTTTGTCAACTACTTAATTTCTGGTATCATGACATCCCTAGTAGGCTATGCCTGAAACACCCTACAGATATAGGATTGAAACACCACATGCCTCAATGTAGCATTCACTTCTTAGCCAGAAAACATTCACTCAAAGGCATAACTTGCATCGAGAGCACCCCCACGCATCAATGGCCACAGCAGGAATAGACAGCATTGTGTTTATTAGACTCAAAACACACACTCTGTCAAGTGCTTTACTATCTTAGCCTATTCGTTATATCAGGAGGCTAAATATAGGGACCAAACCTGGCACCAAAAATTTAGATATGTTGTAGCTTCCCCTAAATTTCTCTAATGATGCTGTCTGGTGACCCCAGTAGCTCACCTGTATTACAAAGCAGCCACTCTAGATTTATCCTGCTGTCATATCATATATAGGCAGTGCATGGGAACCAAGGCAGGAAAACACTGGTGGCAATGCCTGTTAACTGTTAGTAAATCAGTCACTGACAAGCAGTAAAACTGTAGCAAACCCTTAAGTATTTCTTTTAGAGTGAGTAATGAAATAACAGGTCATTTATCAAACATACGGCTGCTGTTTTTGCTGTTTGTGGTAAAAATCTTTGTTTGCACAGACTCTGTTGAACTCTGCAGTGCTGGCACATCTGCTCTCCTCCTCCTTTCTCATTGTTGTGTAGGACAGTGGAAATCAGCTCCATGAATAGTGATGCCATCACTGGCGGCCATCGCTTTGTCTGCACTACGTCTCACATTAGTTCCTTTTAGCAGTCTCAGGTCCAATCGGACAGCTGATTGACGTTAATTGAAGAGAGTGAGACTGAAAAAAAAATGAATTGAGAGGATATGGAATAAGACCTAAATTGCAAAGGACTGGAGGAATAAAGTTGTGAAAACAGCAGTAAGATGCATCTGTAATGGGCGTATGGTGCTTGATGGGATGTAAAACCTGCCTCTCTATCTGTGTGTGAGTTTCTTTACGTGAACTAGTGCCAAAGCCTTATGGTTTTTGATTTACAGGCTGAGAAAAAACAAACATTCTGTAGAAAGGTTTGAGGAAAAATGAGTGAAGGAGCTGTGTTCACGGTGACCTCCATGGAAACAATAAAATAAAGAGATAATGCTGACGGGGTCATATTTCTGCCGTTGTTTTCTCCTTTTCTCGCCTTTCTTCTTCCTCAGGAAAATCAAACAGATGACAACTTTATTAACCTGAGACTGATTTATTCAGTGATGCACTTCATTTTGGAAATGGATGCTTGTTTTTTAAAAGGACAGGAACACTATCACTCTTTTAGATTGTTTGTTGCGTTGTTGCATTTTCTCACCTCCTGCCTCCACCTCTTCCTCTCCCTCCGTCTCGCTTGTCGTTATTTCTGAAAAAGGCGGATGGCGGGAATAAATCTGGAAGGTTGTCATAAAGGTGCCTTTACCTTGTTCTTTCCCAGACCTGAGGAGTTGAGTACCTACTCGATCAAACTGATTACTCAGGCAAAGTATGTCGAGCTTACACTCCATTTGACCCGCTCTGAACTACATCTGAGGGTCTTCAAACAACCACAGAAGTCTTCTTTTGAGAGTTAAAGAAACAACCCGTGGCAATGCATGACCCCATACACTATACATCTGTCCTTCACTTTAAAGCACGCTTTGTACTCTGTTGACAAAGTATACAGCAATGTCTCATTAAGGGGGGAGCTGAAGCAGTAGCGTTACCTTACTGTTAATGATTTGGGGATGGATTGTGTCAGGTTGAGCCGATTCCTCACCCCTCCTCACCCCACACACACCTTCAAAGGCTCACCTGACAGGGCAGAGATGAAAGGCAGAGGGAACAGGCGGCAGTGGGAGGTGTGGAGAGGTGACGGGTGCTGGGAGGAAAGGCGTGGCAGACGAACCAAAAGCAGGAATTAGAATGAAGAGAAAAGGAAGAGGACGAGAGAGGAGAGAGATGTGTGAGGGAGCACAGTAGGGGAGTGAGCCTTCATACACACCCCACTCAGAGGTTAATGTGTTCTGAAGGCGCACATGCATGTGTGTACATATAGTGTATATATTCTATATTTTGCCAATGTGTATATGTGTTCTTCAAAGTTATTACACAGGTGGAGGTGACAGCTCTGCATTAGCTAGGTGGAAGAATGTGACAATGCTATGACAAGTCACTCTCTCTCTCTCTCTCTCTCTCTCTCTCTCTCTCTCTCTCTCTCACACACACACACACACACACACACGTACACACATGCACACAGTATTCCACTTTTGCAATTCCAACTTTCCAAACCCGTCTCTGCACTGACACACCAACTTTTAGCACCTACACAAACCCTCATATGGCTGGCAAGTCAGCAAGGCTCTTGCTGACACTCACCTGTCTGTGTTCACAGTGTATCAGATGCTCTCTCTCACACACACACATAAACACTGAGCACATAAAGCAGCTTGAAGCCCATTCAAACACACAGTTTTATTTCAATATTTTTTTTTTGTTTTGCTGTGCAGCTGTTAAGTCAGCAGACCATTCCCCAAACAACACCATCAATGTTTCTATCAATATCAGCACAGGCAAACCAACTTTGACTCTTTTCCAGAAATATAACTGGTAAATCCTCCAACCTTTTGACATTTGACATCCCTGCTCTGACCCAAAACCTCCACCTGTGACTCCCCTCCAGCACCTCAGACAGCATACCAAAAAAAGGTTGGTCTCTTGGTTTTAATTATATGACAGAGAGCAAGTTCATGAAACAGGTTCACAGAAACTGTTTTAGCACATACATATTCGACTGAAAACCTCTGATCTTGGTAGTTTGATCAGATGGTATCCCTATGACACATTCTGGACCCTTTCCATCCGAAAATGTTGATGAAATGAAATGCTGTTTCATTTATAATGTCTGCTCAAT